CATCACACCCATACATGAAAATATTATAAGATTATTTCTTGCAGTTCTACACATCACACCCATACATGAAAATATTGTAGATTTATTTCTTGCAGTTCTACACATCACACCCATACATGAAAATATTATAAGATTATTTCTTGCAGTTCTACACATCACACCCATACATGAAAATATTGTAGATTTATTTCTTGCAGTTCTACACATCACACCCATACATGAAAATATTATAAGATTATTTCTTGCAGTTCTACACATCACACCCATACATGAAAATATTGTAGATTTATTTCTTGCAGTTCTACACATCACACCCATACATGAAAATATTATAAGATTATTTCTTGCAGTTCTACACATCACACCTGTACATGAAAATGTTGTAGATTAATTTCTAGCAGTTCTACACATCACATACCTGAAGATGTCATAGATCTGATCCTTGAAGCCCCTGGACAACATCTCATCAGATTCGTCGAGGACGAACATCTTGATGAAGTTCGGGTCCAGCACGCGGCGGTTGATCATGTCGTACACCCTGCACACCAAATGCACATTATTACTCCAAACTTCAATAAACCGTACAGCAACGAGTCTTACTGCTAGAAATGTGAATATTTTTGAAGCAATTTATGCTTCAAGACGCATCACACTACAACAGCTATGTAGTGTATTGTATTGTGCTCCTCTTCAGTCAAAACATTTATTAAGTTACCATCTTTATGTGCTAGATCAGTATGTTATTTATTTGTGTTCATTGATATCTGAATAAAAGCTTGCTTATTAACTCAGGCAACAGGTGACAAACTAAATTCAAATTTTATGTTATTCAACATGGAAAGATAACACATGCACTTCAGTAACCTTTAACTTGACTCTACATGTCATCACTTCATAACCTTGCGCTCTTTAAAACCTGGTGAAAACTATCAAAAAAAAAATAAACTATCCTTTGTAACTCTTACCGTAAAATAATTTATTATTTGTAACTCTTAGTTTTTCAATGTAAACCCACTAATCACAGACGAGAAATCTACCGCTATGCGTACTTAAAGAGGTTTTTAAGGTACGGCCCTGGCACATGGAAGTAGTCTCACCTGCCAGGGGTGCCCACAATGATGGGTATGGCCCTGACACAGGGAAGTAGTCTCACCTGCCAGGGGTGCCCACAATGATGGGTATGGCCCTGACACAGGGAAGTAGTCTCACCTGCCAGGGGTGCCCACAATGATGGGTATGGCCCTGACACAGGGAAGTAGTCTCACCTGCCAGGGGTGCCCACAATGATGGGTATGGCCCTGACACAGGGAAGTAGTCTCACCTGCCAGGGGTGCCCACAATGATGGGTATGGCCCTGACACAGGGAAGTAGTCTCACCTGCCAGGGGTGCCCACAATGATGGGTATGGCCCTGACACAGGGAAGTAGTCTCACCTGCCAGGGGTGCCCACAATGATGGGTATGGCCCTGACACAGGGAAGTAGTCTCACCTGCCAGGGGTGCCCACAATGATGGGTATGGCCCTGACACAGGGAAGTAGTCTCACCTGCCAGGGGTGCCCACAATNTACTGGAGGAATGTGAGGGTACTGGAGGAATGTGAGGGTACTGGAGGAATGTGAGGGTACTGGAGGAATGTGAGGGTACTGGAGGAATGTGAGGGTACTGGAGGAAAGCTCACCTGTTGGGCCAGCTCCCTGGTGGGGGCCAAGATAAGGGCTTGGGTGTTGGGGCTCTTGGGATCAATGCGCTGCAAGATGCTGATGCTGAAGGTGGCGGTCTTGCCAGTACCTGGAACACGACAGCACCGTCAGCATGTAGGTCAGCATACGCGTGGTGGTTCAACATATATACATTGTACAGCAACAGAATCTTGATGAATATTTCAAGTGATTCTTTTCATTTTCGCATCTATATAGTAAAGATATATATGAAAAATGAAGAAATCGTCTATTAGGATGAATGTTCTGAGAATTGAAGTGGCGTAGATAACCAATATACAAATTGAGATCTGCACAACTTAGTGTAGATTAAGAGGAAGCAGATCTGACCTGTAGATGAGAGGACATTCATGCATGGTCAGCAGACCGTGGCTAGGGTCTGGCTCGTCGAGTCAGTAAGGAGCAAGAATAGAGTTCAGGGACTGATGCACTTAGGACTGGGGCACCTGACTGGGCCCAACACACCAGGCTAGGCCCAACATACCTGACTGGGCCTGGGCGATGCAGTCGTAGCCTTTGCTACAAGGGAGGATGGCCCAACATACCTGACTGGGCCTGGGCGATGCAGTCGTAGCCCTTGATACAAGGGAGAATGGCCCAACATACCTGACTGGGCCTGAGCGATGCAGTCGTAGCCCTTGATACAAGGGAGGATGGCGCGCTGCTGGATGGCAGAAGGCTTCTCAAAACCATAAGCGTAGATGCCTCGCAAGAGGTCATCTCGCAGGTCCATGTCGTCAAAGCTCGTAACAACCTGACGGGGTGAAGGATATTACTAGGCTGACATGCATAATAAAAAGACAAAGATTCAATTCATCTAATTTAATTTAATACTGATTGTAGTTATAGAGAAGCCTAAATTTGGAAATTACCTCCCAATCATTTTAATTAAAGACTGTGCAAACATTTATCACATTACCAGGCAATAAACAAACAAATCCACATACCTGTCCTACAACTGTTACTCTCACTATAAAATTAATTTAATTAGTTACTCTAAAAGCTCTCTCAATTAATTAGTTACTCTCACTATAAAATTGATGCCGAAATATGGGCCTTTCACGACTAAATGTTTAATTATATCTATGCTGGTTATTCAAAACGTATTCAAAGATGAAGCAATATTTTGCTATGTATCAGCAGACAGACACTATAAACAGAAAAGACTGATATTGTGGAGTGGGTTGCAACAGCTTAGATTTTAACAGCACCAAATCTGATCATCTAATAACAGAGACAGCAACATCAAATAAAGCTGAACCCTTACATGGATCTCAAATGAGTACAGATAAGAAGATATATCAATCACTTCAAGATGGTTGGTTTCAATAACAGGCTGAACATCCATGCTACCCAACAACACAGTATAAATAAGAAGATATCAGACACATTTATACAACATATTTTTATGACCCACTTATACCCGTGACTCACTTCATGATAGTTGGTTTCAATAACACCATCAACATCCATTCCCGCCGGCCCCTCAAAGTCCTTGGCGGGGCCGGCACTGTTGCCAGCGCTAGCGGCCTCGGCGGTCCACTCGCTACTGCTGGGGGGACAGGGGTTAAGATGTGAGGCTTACATCAAAATTATCCTATACTGCTGGGGGGACAGGGGTTAAGATGTGAGGCTTGCGTCAGAATTGTCCTATACTGCTGGGGGGACAGGGGTTAAGATGTGAGGCTTACATCAAAATTATCCTATACTGCTGGGGGGACAGGGGTTAAGATGTGAGGCTTACATCAGAATTATCCTATACTGCTGGGGGGACAGGGGTTAAGATGTGATTTCAAGTTTAATTTAGCTAGTAAAAAAATGGCATCATTTATAAAAAAAAAGTGGTCTAAGTTACCCCATTTTACGGTGTCAGGTGAGGGTAAGGATTGATGGTTGCTTATTAGCACTACCTCAAGTTACTAAGCAGTTATTTCTCAAGCCTAAGTTGGTTTGTGAGGCTAATGTTATTCTAATATGACAATTTTTAATTAATTGAAGAATTTAACAAAAAAAAAATGGAAATATTAAGTGGAAATATTAAAGGAACAAGAACCAACAACACCCAAATATGAAGGGCAAATCAAACTGGTATAGCGAAAAAGAATTAAATCTGCATCCAAGATTTATTGTCAACATTGACAATTTCAAGAATCAGTTGGAATAAGATAGGGTCAGATGAATGAATGTATTTAAAACAATTAGTGGTGCATTACCTTACTCTTAATTTTAATTTGGCTACTCAGGAGCTAGCAGTGCAGTACCTAGATCATGCAGATAACAGCCCTGCATTCAATTTGTATTTTAGTAACATTTGCACATGGAGGATTGCCAAGTAAAATTTTTTACTGAGATGTTGCAGCTCCAGGGTTGAATATTGTGGGTTAGCTGAAACTCTCTTGTATTAATTATGCCATTGCATTACAAAACTAGCAGCTTTGCCTGGAATTTCAGAATCACATCAATCCTGTTGTCCCTGATCCTTTTGCAAGTAATAAAGATTATAAATGCCTTTCAAAGAACACCAGTTGAACACAAATTATAACTGGAGCATAGAACTTCCATTAGTTAATTTAAAAATATAAATAAATTTTAGCCTCTCAAGATAAATTATTTAATTGAAATTTATAGCTAAAATTTCAGTCTTTGATCCAATCCTTTTTTGCCTGTTTAGCCAAGCCTTACTAGTCCATTTAAAAAAGCAGTAATAAATAATTATCAGAGAGCAACTCCGCACAATAACAAATAAAGTAAACAAGTATTATAGCCAACATTTGACTTTCATCCATTCAAACAAAATTATTGATCTCATGAGGAGCTTGTAGCTGAAAAAGTAGCAGGAAAGCTTTATTTGGAACTTTGAGAAGCAATTTATTGAATGCCTTCATTGCAAGCTGATGCTGCTGCTTCTTCTCCATTTCAGGGAGCATTCCAGTCTAAATAATGTAGGGTAATGAACTGGGTAATATAGAATTAACAGGTTATATCTATAATGTACACTTATAGATATAATAAGTGTACATATCATATCACTTCCAATAATCTGTAACTATTCTTTTATCTATATTTAGCCGATTCTTCAGAACTATCAGGTCACCATGTTAGATAGTATTGAAATTTTCCTACTTGTTTCTGAAATCTCGCAGCTCCAACGTGACAAATTTTTTAATACATTTGGAATCTCACGGCCTGATCGTGCATTTTTGTTAATAATTGGATAGGAGGTATTTCATCTGGTGGAAATCTCACGGTTCTGGAAATGGCAGGAAACATCTAGTCACGGCCTAAAATCAGGACTGGAATTTTTTTCTTGTTTCTGAAATTTTGTGGCTCTGGCGTGATGAATTTTGAACACATTTGGAAACTCGCGGCTTGATTGTTCACTTTTGCTAACAATTAGATAGGAGGTAATTCATCTGGCAACTGGTGGAAATCTTGAATTTCATGAATTTCCAGAAATGGCGGGAAAGCTCTAGTTACTACTAGTACTAAAGGTAGATGTTTTCTACGCTTGATGCTAGAATCTAGATTGACCTTGAATATATGAATCCCAATCTGGAAATAAACTAAAAAATTGGGCAGAAGCCAACTGTAAATAAATCAGACAAGAATGCCTGTGAATCTGGCTAAGTTCAGTAGTTCACCCATTCTAATGGCATTCACACAATATCTTTAGCAAAAAAAATTGATTTCAACCAATAATTTTTAAAAATCCTTGAAATGAATGTTTTTGACAACAAATCAAGAAAACTTCTGCCAATATTCCAAAATCCAAATTGGATGTGTAGCTAATATATGGCAGAATTTTAATAATCTTGGGTCAAAACTATTGTTTAACCAATGATTTCTGGAAATTGCAAACCAGAGCTCCTTTTTTTTTTCTTACAAAAAAATTTAGACATGGGCAAAAAATTAGTAAATTTGAGAGCAAGCATGGGGATAATTTCTCATTAATGGGTGGCATGAGCCTTATTTTCCAGAATGGAATGAACAGAACAACCATTCTTAGGCTAGAACTCAACCCTGCCCTTCAATTTTAGAGCTAGTCCCTACCAATTCCTGCCATACTGGCAAAGCAGAAAGGTTTTTAGATACAACCTCAAGTTCATTTTTGAATCCTATATTTAGACCAGTAAAGTATCATAGATACCAGCATTATCATACATAAGAAATAGGTTTAAATTTTGAGTAAATGAATAAATTTGAAAATAAACTGATTCTAATAAATCTGTGGTTTGTCAACATTAATTTCCTGCTATATAAATTAGGCTATCTCCTATCTCATTAGGAACACAAGTGAATAATTAAGCTTCAAAATTCCAAATAATAATGTGATCATTTCCATTTCCCTTTGGAGACAAGATTTCAAAATTATTATAACATGGAATAATTTGATCTTGTCAAGTTGTCAAAGTGTTAGCTAATTGCCTTCCAAATTGCAATGCATCATGAAGTAGGTATACAAAATTGAAAAAAAATATAGTATGAAAATATTACAAGTAGCATGAATTAACATTCTTTTTATTATGATTATATAAATAAATAATTGAACGTGCAAGATAACAGGATGCTGTGAAATTTTTCATCTCTCTCGACTGACTACATCCGGGAAAAAGGTAGATTAGGAATTATTATCAGCACGGCAAAAATCAATTCAAATTAGTAAATATAACTAAGAAATTTATACTTGTAGCTTTGTTTAAACATATCACAATTAAGCAAATGTGCCATGATATTATCGAAAGCAAAATTGGATCATGCAACATGAGTCACATCGGCGCGGTGTCCGCCATTAAAATCTCGTGGGTGCACCATGCCGCTGCACACGAGGCACTTTTAGCCATTTTAAGCACTAAATAACCATACAAATGCAAGATTATGAACAACCGTTACTTTATGCACATGATATAATATCAATTTAAATACTTTTATCTCAGTAATTTACTTAATACTCACTTGTTTGATTCGTAGTTCTCTGACATGATATACTTCCAAAAAGTTTTAGGATAGAAGAAGTGTGAAGAACTCAGAGAGATGGATGTGACTTGTACAGTAAGAGTGGAAAAGTCGAATGATTCGTGGGAGTGATTGGTCGAGTTTTTTCAAAAAACAAAATTTTGAGTGTTAATCAGATAACCGAAAATTTTTATTCTCTAACAACATACATACAAATAAATTTCATTCTATTTGTGTCCGAATAAGTGGCACGAAAGAGAGAAGTATATGTGGGACTTTTTGGGGCGAACTGAAATTTTTAAGCAAATTGATACTAAACAAGTTATGAACTTGTATGATTAAAATTAGAACCAAAGTCACTTAATAGAGATAAATAATTTAATCATATTTTCTCTATTTACCGGTAGTGCTTCATAATGTATTTATTAGTATTATATTTAGATATCAGTATTATTATTGGGATATTAGTTTGCGGGCTACCGGGGTTCTTTTTTTTTAATTTTTTGAGTAAATATAATTATCGTCTGTTTGATCGCCCTCTTACTCTAAAGGTATTGAACATTTGTGAATGAAACTTCTTTGGCTCATAATAATAAAACCCTCTCAAGCCTAGCTCACGGAAAAATTGTTGATTCCAGTTCCGCCAATGAATTTCTTGTATTACGTTTTTGATGGCCATGTGAGAACCGACAAGAGAAATGTCCCGAAGATCTTTTTACCAACCAAATACAGAGAAATAATATTTAATTTTATCCTACTCGCAATCGCAAGTAATCATTGAATGCTAGGACTTATTTCTTTTCGAAAAATCCTAGAAAGCCAGTAATATCTGTATCAACTTGTCTGCAATCACATCTGAAACAGGAAGAAATGTCTCAGTTGGATAGTGCTCGTATTGCGGTTGTGGTCATGATGCTATCCAAGTTATCAAGCCTAAATTTCATGTCAGAAAATTAAAAGTGGTTCTATTCTGGGTGATCTTATTCACGGCTAATATGCTGAATTTGAAATGTATAAAGTACCTAGGGCTAGAGGCTAGATCATATGCAATTTTTTTAAGCAACGTTTAATAGTAAATAGATGGTTTAAGATCGTTTGATTTTAGTTATATTTTGGTAAATTATTAATTTGACAACAGCCCATGCTCATGAAATTAAATATTTGGCTTGCGCGTATAATATATTTTCGTAACAATGTCGCTTTGTCCCGTTTGATGCTGCGATGATAAATGATTAGGTATCCCCTGAAAATACATTTTCTGTTAACTAATAAAAAGAATGTGTACCATCTGTAAGTAATACTATTATAAATTAGTTGATTGCATTTTTCTTTATTCTTTCGTATGTATCAGTATCTTAAACGTGGTAATAGAATTTTTGCGATAATCTGCAAACCTGCTTATTGCGGGTAGTCAGCAGGACTGAAGGCCCACTTGCGCACAGATACTCAACCCACGCTTGCATTTCTGCAGGGATGATAATGAACGAATAATTTTCTCTGTAATATAATTAAAGTAATGTAATGGCAATGTCGGTGACTCACCGGTGACTCACACCAATTTTCTGTATTGAAGAATGGAGTCTAATATTGAATCAGGGTATGGATTATCTATATTATTTTATCTTGAAAACTAACAGTGTGTTAGGATTTTAAGAACTAAAATAAAATTAAGAGTAGTAAGTTATACATTGCCATTTTGCTCCGTTTTTGGAATGCATGATATTATATGCTTCTATTATATGATGCAATGTTGAAGTCGACGGCAAGACTCGTGTTCTGAATAAGAAGTTTATAATAATAAGACTACATTATCCTGATAAGTATATAATAATAGAATAAAATAGAAGTGTCGGCGTTGAATAAATAGGCCCATGGCCTGTTGCCGATTCTTGAACTTTTCGTCACTTGATTCGCAAGGGATCCGGCCTTTGGAACCCGATCTTTCCATAGCTGACGATTGATTGAGATAGCTGCTGGACTTATTGCCTGGTCCGTAATTTGCTAGGCATTTTAAGACTGAACATATGCTCCAGCATAGCTTCGTCTGGACTTATTGCCTGGTCCGTAATTTGCTAGGCATTTTAAGACTGAACATATGCGCTTGCATAACATAACATAACATAACATAATGATGTCGGCGCTGAAATGTAGGCCTGATGTGGCCTGTCGCCGATTCTTTTCCTTTTCGTGCCTTGTTCATAGATCTAAACTCGTATCATTTGATCGGATCGGAGCTTTGTCTAGTCTGTTCTTGAACGCGTTCATACTCGGATCGTCAACGATGCTATCAGGGAGGCTGTTCCACATGTCGGTGACTCGAAGCGAGAAGAAATGTTGTCGCATGGATGTGTTCCAACGCAGTTTTTTTAGTTTATAGCCGTGGCCCCTGGTGTTGGTTCTTTGCTCCTCAATGGCTGGAATACTGTTCAAGTCCTCTTCAGTAAATACGCTACTGAAAAAATGATTAAGTACGTTGGCTTTGCCCTCATCAGAGGATCTTGCTCCGTTATCCACGCTATCACAATGCAGGATATCGAATGCATCTATTGTATAGTGCAATGTTGAAGTCGTCGAGAAGACTCATGTTCAGAATTATTATATATTCTAATTTTACAGGTTTTCATTATACAGAAGCTTAGGAGGCTGGGCTGATGTGTTGCAGGCCATCTGCACCTTGCGTGGCATTGCAGGGAAGTTCAGAGGCTGCTAATAACTTTTGTAATAAGAAGTTGATTAGGTAACAGTAAAAAAAATTAATGGTGTTGTGAACGAGGAACATCGTTCACTAATTTATTCAATGTGCATTTTCTTGTGACGAAATTATTCTATTACGTCTGGCGAAGCCGCGCCAGTGAC